AAATTCTAATTATATTTATCTAGTATAATATTCATAACTCATTGAAAAGTTATTGAGATATTATATAATTCAAAAGATATAATATTGAATTCAAAAAGTTCTTTTTTGAAGATGAAAACAGTTTTGAATTTGTTTTTTTCTTTTATTTCAATTTGTTTATATTTAGAGATTAAGTTTATAAATGAAAATTAGTAAGTATTTTTAAGAGAGTCTATTATTTCATTAATTCTAGATAATAAATATATATCTTTTTGGATAATTATATTTAGTTTTCAGTAATTAATATATAATTTTTTATTCTTCTTAAAAACTATGTTAATAGGTAAAGTCCAAGAACTAGTTAATAGTCAAATTATATTTATATCTAATATTTTTTGAATTTTTTTAGATATAAATAATTAATCTAGAAGAGTAGTTTTATAAGATTATTATTTAATAAATGATTTATTTTTAGTATGTATTTCATTTTGAATTAGATTATTTTGATCAAGTTGATATAATTTAGTTGTAAGGATATTAATATTATTTTTTAATAGTTAAGTAAGAAGTCTTTCTTATTTTGTAATTAATTTTCATTATTTAATAACTTTTTTTTCTTGTTCTTGTTCCAAGAAATAAGTAAAAGCTTCTTGATAGTTAGTGAATTCAAATCTAGCTGTTCCTTGACTAGACTGTTCAAGTTCTTCTTGAATAAAAATTGGTTTAAGTTGTTCAATAGGTACAAGTTGTAGAAATACTAATTGAGCAATTTTCTAATCAGATTTAATAATATAATCTTCTTTTGAATTAATTTAAATAATGATATTAATATTTTCAGTATATCCAGAGTTAATAGTTCTATCTTTAAATAATAAATATAATTATAATATAATTTTATATATATTATTAAAAAATCACAAAAATTATAAGAATATAATATTAAGAAGTATGAAAAAATTTAATATTTTATATAATTAATTTTTAATCTAAAAATATAATTTGAATTTTAATTAAAATATCTAATTATTAAAGCAAGTTTATAAAATTAATTATAATTTTATATAAGATATTATATAATATATTAAAATATTAATATTGAAATAAATTATTTTTTATTTAAATAAAATATTATTTTTAGTAATATTATTAGTTTTTTAATATTAATTCTATAAAATAATATTATAATTTTATTTATAATCTATAATAAAATATTATTATTTATGAAAATATATTATATTTTCTTAAGTAATAAAGAATTAATAATAAATTATAAATAAGTTGATAAAAAGAATATAATTTTTATTAAATATTAAAAAGAAAAAAATATAAAAAAATTATATCTTTTATTAAAAATTAAAAAATTTATTTTCATTTGAATACTAGTTTATAATAATTAATTTTTTATTTAAAGTATTTTATAATTGTTTTAATAATTAATTTTCATTTTAAATATCTATAAATAAATATATTTTGAATATTTATAATTTTATGATAATTAATTTTTTATTTAAGTATATAATTATTTAAGCATTATAATAATTAAAAATTTATTTTAAATAAATAATAAATGAGCAATTTAATTTAATTATAATATACATTCAATAAAGAATCATAATTGTTGATTAGTACTGATAAAATTATAGAATACATTTTAATTATTTTTATTATACATTAATAATTTTATAAGCTTTTCTTCCAATTAAGAATAATTTTATTTCTAATTATTATAATTTTACCAAGAGCTAAAAATATATTTTGTCTTATATCAAGTAATTCACATGATTATATATAAGATTTTTCATTAAAGTAATCCATCTAATATCCTTTCTAATTCGATCAATGATTATTATCATCTATGAATTCCTTTCCCAATCACAATTATAATATCTAACTTAGCAAGCCATGTTTAAAATATAATTAAAAATGATTTATTCACTTTTCCTTCAAGTTGACAATTATTTGCTTTTATTACTTTGATAATTTCTATATCAATAGTTTCATTTCCAATCTTATTACACCTATCAATAATATTATCGCAATTTGCCTTTAAATTTGCAGCAAACATAAAAGGTTTTGAAAAGCAAATAACAAAATTTTTTGCAAATGAAATAATGTAGGCTTCTAATATAGCAGGTGAATAGTAAGTAATAAGAAATGAAGGAAGGGAAAAATTTATTATAGTGAATAAAATAATAAGGAGGTAAGAAGATTTTTGTTAAAAGAATTGGAGGCGATTACACAGAATCTGGAATAAATATTTGCAAATCCTCACTTGCGAAAATAGATATAAACCTACTAATTGGCGGCGATTGTATGACAAAATTTTATTAACAATAACGATAAGAACCAGATACATGTATTAGCTCATAGAGGCCCTCTCCCTATCCGAGAGCTTTGAAAAAGGTAATCATACCCGAGAAATGGCACCATATTAGTTATGTTCCCTGCCAACTTCCCACAATATCTTGATAATCCAAGATTATGAAATATCAGCCAATAAATATTATGCATTCGAACCTAAAGAGAGAAAAGTAATATCGTTTGTGCTACTCATCCCAACTGAGCAAGCTGACTGACATAATAGGGAAATTGTGACGGATCATACGGATCCCAGAAAAAGGACAGAATCTGTAATAATATGCCAGTTATGTTTGTCATACACAGAATCTGCCAGTTATGTCTGTCATACACAGAATCTGTAATAATTATTTGGAAAAATAGTTATATAAACGAGTGAAAAAAAATTTTTATAAAAGTTTTAATTAGCAAAAATAAACTATTTTCTCTTTGCATAAATTAATGGCAATGTTTAAAGAAATGTCTAGCTCCGTCGTTGATACTAATTACGCCTATTTAAGCTATAATGATTTGTCAATGCTAAGTGAACTCCCTTATCGTTTAACGCTTTCCATTGAAGAATTAACGAAACCGGCTGCAAAATACCGTGGTGATTTTGAAAAACCACCACGATCGCAAAACAGTTGGATAATTTTTCGAAGAGATTATGAAGCGCATTTACGTTTACTTAATCAACACGTTAAAAAAGAAGTAAAGAATACAGCTCATGAGTGTAGTCTGAAGTGGAAAAATCTGCCGAGCGAGGTCAAGCAATTCTTTAAAATATTAGAGAAGATAGCTTATGAGAATCACAAAAGCTTATATCCTAATTATAAGTATAAGCCAAGAAATGTAAAAGACTCAAACGTCAAGAAATGGGTTTTTCGCGAACAAAAGAAATACGCGTTTACTTCTTCACACATGTCTACCTCAATGAGTAATAATTTCCCTCCTCAAGAAGCTTCACAACTCGTTAGGTCGTCCTCTTTGAAAGATACAACCGAATTTAATCGTACTGTCATCACCACTTCAACAACAAAAATTGATGGTACTCATCCTCACATGATAAATACTAAGAATGAAGCCGAAAATTCGATTAACGAGCTTTCATCGGATCAGCTTTCTTTTTTAGTTGAAAACGAGGATATCAATAATAATAATAATAATCTGAATAAGGATATTTATGAAATACATTTCAATGAATCTTTTATGAGTGATCAATTCTTAACGTTAAACCAATTCACCACTTATAATCCAATAACCCCGTTAGAATCACAGCAATTCTCGCAACTATTTACCCAAGAATATGATTAATTTTATTATATGATAACTTTTCTAATCGTTTTTATTACACATAATTTAAGTCAGATAAAATAGAGATTGAACTTGTATTTACTATTCATAAATAGACTTCTCGGCAATTATTAAATTAGTCAAACAATTCATTCAACAACCCCCATTAGAATCACAACAAGTCTCACAACCATTTACCAATAATATGATTTATTAAATGTCGATTTTAAAATTTATTATATGCTAACATTTTCTAACCGTTTTTGTTACATTATAATTTAGATTAGAAAAATAGAGATTTGAACTTATGTTTACAATTACGCGTAAACAAATTAATATCGATATAGATCTCCCTCGGTAATTTATTTAGTTCTTCATTCGCTTGTTCGTTTGTTCGTTTTGCTCTTTTGTTTAATTTAATAAATTATTCTGTCTGTTCTTTCGTTTGGCTTATTAGTCATTGTATCTATTTCATTTATTGTTTATTCTTTTGTTTTATATACATTTATTTAATTTGTCTAACAAGGCTTATACCAACGTTTCGAAATTTGATAAATTTGTCACTTTTTTTCGAAGTTAAATTTTGTACAATAAATAAATTCAATATCGTTATATCTAAAATCCATTATAAAAGTTTAAATCATTTCACAATGTGAATTGTTCAGTACGTGCAAGGGTTTTAACTTTCAATTATATTATTGCAACTTTCAATTCTCAACGCAATTCCCTGAACCATTACTTCATGTTGAAACATGCGATCGTCGAATATTCATTAATTATTGTTTTGTGGACACCACTTTCTACAGTCAAACCTGATTATAACAGAACTTTTGAGCTGAACAAATAACTTCGGTTTATAATTTATTATATTAAATTTTTTGATATAATGAAACTATACAGAAATTTATACAAAATTCATTAAAGTAATTTTTATATAGAATTATAAAAAGTTATAAGTATGAAACGCAAGTTATTCTGTTTCAACTTATTGTATTTATGAACACTCCAATAGTCGATTGATCAATAAAATCTCGAAATTCCTCAGCAGTTGATCTGAAATAGGATTCCAACAATTTTTAATAATAAAGCTATTGCAAATGTCTAATACAAGATCATGACTTCGTTTACCAAATGGTCGTTCACCAGTTCGAACGTCGTACATAATTACCCCAGAGTTATAAATACATGTATCTGCAACGTTAGCGTTAGCGTTAGTGTATGGCCTTCCCATTTACATGTACAAACACTGGCGTAGGACAACATATCGTTAGCACATCATGATTATCATTGCTCTCGGAGAGTCGATATCTCCGATTCCCAATGTGCACATGTTGATCAAATAATTTTTGTCAACGCAATTTAATTTTAATTAAGTGGCTATGTATAAAATAATGGATTTTTCTTGGATCGTTGACACGAAAATGAAAGCCACCAAAGTCCAAAACCAAAACATTAAAAGCGAGATCAACGCCACCACCCAAGCTTCTTTATCCACCAAAACAACAATTTCAAGTCTGCCAACAGATTGTTTTGACAAAATATTATCCTTTATCCACGACAGGCATATATTATTTTCCGCTGCTTTAGTCGATCGAACTTGGTGTAGATTAGTCATCCCGAAATTGTGGAAATCCACTTCTTACAATATTTGCGATGCTAAAAAAGGGATAAGTATTAGCGAAACATACATCAAATGTATGAACGACGAGGAACGGCAAGAATTGATCAATTCCGGAATCACCGCTGTGGAATCGTATCCTCGCGCCTTATTTCCATATGCTAGCTTCATCAAGAGACTTGATTTGAGTGAACTTGAACAGGTCGTTTCCTGGTTTACAGCAGAGGAAGATGGTAATAGAGACGACCCAGCTATTCTCACGAGCCCGATCTGGAAAATTATTTTAAAGGAATGTGAAGATGATGATGAACCGAAAATGTTGGAGAGAATTATGACACAAATCCATAAACTCATTTTCAGAAGCACAAAGAATTTGGAATATATTAGATTCTGTGGAGAAGACTCTTATTCCCTTCCAAATATCGCCGAATTTCCTAATGTAAAAGAAGCAATGCTGAATCTCCAAGAAATTATGTTTAGCTGCGCCACATCTGATAGAAATTGTAATTATGTCGTTATTGGAAATTTGATTAATGTATTGAAGTCGTGTTGTCGCGGTATAGAGGTTCTTCAAGTGGATCTCGGATTTATTCGGAACAGAGCTCGCAAAGATTTGTGCGAATTAATTGAAGCACAGAATGGATTGAAGCACGTACTTTTTTATGGTTTTGATGACGAGGAAAGAACACTTATTAATGCTCTCAGCTCTCAAAAGAATTCGCTTGTTTATCTTGAATTCGTAGGTTATTATTTTTCTGGTTGGTTAATTAAATTGTTGGAAAATCTTGGATTGTTCACCAAATTGGAAGGATTGACGTTCACTCAACAATTTGAAATATCTAATGATGAATATAATAATGAAAGGTTTTCGACTTTAGTTGAAACTCCCAAATGCCTTCGCAATTTATACTTTAGTGACTACATGTTAAACTTCAACAATTCGACCATGTTTGATAATATATTCTTGTTCCCATTACTCAAAATCTGTGGTCCTGCTCTAAAAGAACTCACTCTTAAGAGAAGTTACGGCAAAGGATTGTTCGATGTAATTTCGGAGTACGCCAAAACCCTTGAAATTTTGGAACTCAACCTTGAAGTATCCCACCTTTCATGTTTCCTTCACATCCTCTCTGCACTTGAAAAATTGGAGCATCTATGCATTGCAGATTTCAAGAAAGGACGTGTTGACATTTCTTACTTCTGGGTAGAATTAGGAAAACGAGTGAGCATCAACCTGCAAACTTTGTACTTTAATGCGATAACTTCAGAAGAATTAGATTTGGTGCTTTCAAGTTTAGTCAATCCAATTAAAGAGCTGGGACTTGGAAGAAGTGATGAAATGCATTTGAGAGTTATTCGCAAATTCTGTAAAAGAAGACAAGTTCGTATAAAGTTGTGTGTGTGCTTTCCACCTTTTGTTTCCAACAAAAATTTACTCGAGGAGATCAAAGAATGGGTGGAGATTGTGAATATAGAAGAAGGGTTTTACGGGAGAAATAAAAAGTATATGGGAACTCATTAGAATTTGACATATATTAATATATATGAGATATACAATTATATTATGTTCAAGGAAATTAATTGTAACTTTAGTAATGTTCTCTCAGCGATAGACAACACTGAGACAAGTCAACCTTTACAACGACATTTTGATAATTTTATTTTTTATATTAAAATATTAATGGTGACAATGAAATTTATGGTATTGACCGGTGCATCAGTCAGATGATCAGAGGTATCGCACCAACCAGCGTTTAACATGTAATCAAAATTTTTGTTAACCGTTATCGTTATTGTTTATCGTTATCGTTATCATTATTTAGCACATGTTCTTATCGCTATCGGAAATTCTTGACGCAAATAATATAGTCAAAATAAAATATGGATTCTATACTTAAAATCGTCTCGTTATTTAGCTTTTGGGACGTGATAAATGTTCTGTTACTTTTATTTTTTCTCCACATCTTTAAATTCTATTTAGAATATTATACTCGTGAAAATCCTCTCGCAGGTCCATTTCCATTACCCCTAATTGGAAGTCTATATCAATATCCCGGTGAAATGATACCATGGATTTATGGTTTATATAAAAAACACGGAGATATGTTTGAATTATGGAATGGCTCAAAACGTCAAATATTCCTAAATGACGCCAAACTAATCGACAAAATAGCACAGAATTCGACCAAAAGTAAATACCTTGTTCGCTTTGCAATCGGGCTAAATAAAGGATTAGAGCAATTCGCTGACCCACGTAGTGGAATGTTATTTAACGGAGATGTGGTTGGATGGCGTAATAATCGTAAATTGGTTGATCATGTTTTAATGTCGCCGAATTTTCAACGAGAAACAATTAAAATGATTGAAAAATATTTTACGGAGATGGAAGGGTTTTGGAATGAGCTTGGAATGAATAACATGCAACATCTTTCTGTGTGGGCGAACCGATTACTCGCTGATCTTATGTTCGATTTGACGACAGGCAGACGATGTTATTTCATGGCTAAATATTATAATAGCATTACGAAAACCAATAAAAAAGATGTGCCACTTGAAGAGATCAAATTTTGCGATGATTTTGTCAAAGGAAGCACAGATGGTGGCCCAGCTGTCCGATTTCTTTTGCTAGCACCTGAATTTGTTTGGCGATATCTTTTGAGAAATTTGACACGTAAATATTTGGAAACTCGCGCTCGTTTCAATGCGGTTTTTGATAACCTTCTTGAACAACGTCGTGCTCAAATGAGGAATTTACCTGTCGGTGCAGAGTTACGACCTGATATTTTAACTTTAATCCTCAATGCTAATACAGAAATTCCGAATAATCAAAATAGTACACGAATGAGCGATACTGATATTAGGGACACGTTAGCGGAAATTATTGTTGGCTCTGTTAGTACTGTAAGTGTTGGCAATATTTTTAACAACAAATTGGATACACTAACCTGAGAATATTATTACATTTAAATGAGACTGCAAATGTATTTGCGTTTCTAGTAGAATATATTGGACGACATCATCATATCAAAGAAAAAGTTGAGCTGGAAATAAATTCAACATTTGGTCAACGAATTCCACCAATTATTACAATCGAGAACCTTGGACGACTTCAATATTTAGAAGCAGTCATTTGTGAAGGTAAATCAAAATAAATGCTTCAATTTGTAAAAGAACTTAAATTAAACCTTTCATATGTGCATAGCTCTTCGCCTCACTCCAGGAGCATTCCTCCAACGGACAAATACCGAAGAAGACGAAATCGGTGGATACCGATGGAAAGCGGGCACCGAATTCTGTATAAACATGAAATCAATACACTTTAACCCGAGAGTATGGCCAGACCCCGACGAATTCGTTCCGGAAAGATTTTTCGATCACGATAATGGAAAATATAAAAAAGATTTTCTATCCTTTGGCTGTGGCTTACGTATTTGTCCTGGTCGTAATTTGGCGTTCACTATTCTAAAGTCAATGACTGTTTTACTCTATCTCAAATACGATGTGACTTTACTTGACACCGAATCGCCGATAAAGTGTAAACAGATTTTTTTGAATCAACTTGATTGCCTTGGTGCAAGAGTTATTCTCACGCCTCGTCGTGATATGAAAAGTTCGGCTGAATAAGGGCATTTTCTGTTTTAGTAATTATGTTTCATAATATTGAAAAATATAAAAGTAATTGAAACATTTACGTCTTTTCTACATGTGGCATGCTTTCGCAAGTACATCCCTCAATTTTGTAGTACTTTCGGAAATTTGATAATAAAATTTTGCATAAATGATTATTTACAAAGATTCTAAAGCCCATGCGTGAAATTCATATGGTAAATTGCTAGCTATGTAACTAAAGTTATGTCATGTGGTAATGGTCGTTATTTTGCATCAACTTTGGAATGGGTATATCTATATCTGAACCAATTTCAACTAAATAAACAGACGAGTCCAAAATCATGGAAGTTACACAGTAATACCCTCGTGAATTACATGTACATGTACATGTAATTTCTAATTTATTATGAAAAATTATAATCTATAACGATAACTCTTGCTTTAATGAGTAAGATTGACTTTATCACCTATAAACTATATATAAATGATATGATCTTAAAGATATGTAGCTAAAATTTCTAATTTTTTTTTGAGTAAATAGATTAAAAATAATAAAATGTATATTATTTATTAGTTATCACTAAAACTCTTTAAAACAACATTTAATTATCAAATATGCCAACATAATGTTAGAATATAAGTCTTAAAAGTTTGAAACTTTTTTACAGTACCTTAATTTATTCCATTTACAATAAGCTATAAGTTTTAAAGGTAAAAATAAATCTAATGAATTTTTCAAAATAAAGATTCTTATTTTCGATACTTGTCATTTTTTTTCCTATTTTTGGTTATATAAAAGTGAAGTGCATATTAATATTACATGAATATGAAATTTTATCGTTGTGTTTTTACTTAAAAAATAGTACACGCAATATAATTATCTTATTTATTTTTTTCTCATTGTCATGAATTGTGGTTTTTCTTGCAAGACACTATATCTCTTTGAATTCGTGTGATACGCTAAGATGTTCCCAAAGAATAACAACAATGGAGTAAAGAAATTAATAAATAATATCAAATAGTGAAATCGCCACCGCCTGGAACGAACTTATGATTTATATTTCAAGAAGGCATATCGGTTTGAATTAAATTAATCTTGTAATAAAGATTCGATTGATAAGTAGATTTGTTGTTTTTTGTTATTATTTTAGAATTTTCTAAAGAATCGTGATTCCGAAAATACAAATAATTCGGGCACATCTTTATTGAATTAATTATGAGCACTTGGAATTAGAGATTCTTTTTTAGAGATCGTTTATAAATATCTTTAGCATCGTCATACAATTGATATTTTAACTATCTAAATTCACACGTTATATGATATCGATATAACGATGACGATTAGATGTGATTAATTCAAATTACACGACTACGTGAGATTAAATTTAATTGACTATATGGAAATTAGACAAAAAGTATGAAAAGTGATTCAGCATGTTCTAATCAATTATTTCAACAAAGAATACAAATAGAGAATAAAATAATTAAATTTTGATAACGATAAAAATAATGGGCTAAACTAAATAGTCAAAAGTCTGCAATCGGGGGTAATTTCAAACGTCTATTTGCGTCGTATAGTACTGGAACTAACAGTTACAGTTTGGCCAAACTCTTTGTATTTATTAATAATAGTATGAACAGTAGATTTGGGTCGTCCTAGAGTATCTCCAATCT